GGACTTGCACTGCCTCCATTTGGGTCCAAGTCCAGCCAGAAGGATAGTGATGAAGAGCTTGTTGCTGAGGTTTCCTCCGCACTTGCTAAGCTGATCCCGAAGGGTTTTGCACATGTTAATGTAGCTGTCGACTTTTTCCCCCGGAAGCATTTGTATTGCTGTAAGTTGACATAACAGCTTGCTCTATGTAACGGAATCTTGTGCTCGATATAACTTTCGTAGGTAGTCCCAAGCATAGAAGGTTGGACCAAGTGAAGGTTTGAAGCACCGAATTCCCAACTTCTCTTCAGGTGAGAGATTCCGCACATGTAGTGTATAGGCCATAAGCGAATACTTGTGGTAACGCGCCTGTTCTTCGGTCGTTCCTGTCTCTGGATAATGGATTGAACCGTCAAAATATCCCCAGATACCTGAAGATTGCACGAGTTCGAACTCGAATCCCAAGTATGGAAGTCGCGGCCATCAAAGTAAGTTGAGGTCTTCAGCTTGGAGATAGAAAATCTGCTTGATTTACGACAGTTTTTGCAGCAAATGATCGTTCTTCTGCCATTTGATGTTGTTGCTGCTGTGGTTGTTGTTGTTGTTGTGGTTGAGCAGGTCTCCAATGAAAGGCAAAAGACCCAGCAGATTCATCTCCAGGGGCTGAAGGCCCAGCGGCAACATCAACTCTTGCATAACTAGAGTTATCAAGGCTCATAGAGGTTGTAGGATGCGCTGGAGCTTGTTGTTGTTGCTGAGTAGACTGATTAGCCATCAAAGACCAGAAGTAGGAGAATTCGTAGTTGAATTTCCAGTCTTAGCAGTTGACATAATTATAGATCTATGACTTAAAGCGAGAGACTATAATAGTGACCCCCCTTTCTAGTTGGGCCCAACTAGAAACGACCCAACAGTAAATATGTTTTTGGAGGGGCGGGCAGCAGCCCCCATTTTTTACTAAGCCGTAGGCCACGAAATCGAATTGTGCTTGCGACATTTCACAGTGCGACAAATTTTACGACCATAGATTTGCGTGGTTAGCATTTCGACCAATCGGGGCCCAGCCTCTGTTTTGTTGGAGTAGTGAACCCCGGTCTAACTTGAAATTCAAGTTGGGCCCACTTGGTGCATCTTACATGCAGTGGGGGCTGGGCGACAGGTGGCGCACTGCCCACGAAATATGAGAAAAAAAAAATTGTAATAGAAAATTTACAGATTGTGATTCGACTAGAAGAGGAGTTTGATGCAAAGGAGACAAACTCCTTCATCTATCGACAGGTCTTTCAGACCTGCCATCTAGTCTCATTTGCATTTTTCCGTTCCAACTTGCTCACCCTTCCCTCCCTCGCTTCGATGACTAGCATGGCCTGCTCGCCTTTGTTCCCTTGCCATGTATTTGCCCTATTTAGTGTGCTGTATTATGGAGCTCTGATATGCTATGACGACTGCACTGCACACAAATCTGCTTGATTTAAGACAGCTACTGTAGCACATGGTCTTTCTTCTATCATTTGATGTTGTTGCTTCTGTGGTTGTTGTTGTTGCTGTGGTTGAGCAGGTCTCCCATGAAAGGCAAAAGACCCAGCAGATTTATCTCCAGGGGTTGAAGGCCCAGCGGCAACAGCAGCCTTGCATAACTAGAGTTATCAAGGCTCATAGAAGTTGTAGGATGCTCTGGAGCTTGTTGTTGTTGCTGAGTAGACTGATTTGCCATCAAAGAAGCGAAGTTAGATAGATCGTCAGTAGAAAGACCAGAAGTAGGAGAATTTGTAGTTGAATTTCCAGTCTTAGCGGTTGACATGATTATAGATCTATGACTTAAAGCGAGAGAACTATAATAGTGACCCCCCTTTCTAGTTTGGCCCGACTAGAAACGACCCAACAGTTAATATGCTTTTGGAGGGGCGGGCAGCAGCCCTCGTTTTTTACCAAGCCGTAGGCCACGAAATCGAATTGCGCTTGCGACATTTCGCAGTGCGACAAATTTTACGACCATAGATTTGCGTGGTTAGCATTTCGACCAATCGGGGCCCAGCCTCAGTTTTGTTGGAGTAGTGAACCCGGGTCCAACTTGAAATTCAAGTTGGGCCCACTTGGTGCAGCTTACAGGCAATGGGGGCTGGGCGACAAGTGGATGCGATTTTGCCTGAGCCATTATCCCCACTGTACAGCATGTTTTCCCCGCCAACCAATTAGGTAACCGCATCTTCTTGCCCAGTTTGCCCTGCTTGCATTTCTCGACAGTGTACCCTCTGCCCCGTCGCAATTTTGTCCCTTAGTCGTAAAAACGGACGTCTGGGCCATTTCAAGTTGCACCCACCTTCACTATATTGACCTCTCGCCTTAAGCTTAAGGGCGTAATCGAAATCAGAATCACGTGGAAAAGTGAACCACGTGTTTAGGGTGGCCAGGATCTAGAGTTGGTGGAACCACGAGTAAAAAGTCAGCGGAAGACTTTACACCTTGTATTGGAAATGTCAGAAATGACAAGGATAATAATAAGGAGTAATACTGGCATGTTTATAGTCTAGGAAGTACCTATTCGTAATGTATCTGTTCGTTGTGTAACACGACTATTCGTGTGACATGACTAGTGACTGTTCGTGTGATTGAGAGTGGCGTGACCCTACGGGTCAGGGTCCTCTTTTCAAAAATCCCTTGTCTGAGCCATCAGACAAGAGTTTTGTTTTTTGTCTGAAACATTTGACACTTGTCTGAATGTCATACAAAATCTAAATGTTTGTCTGACATTTAAAATCAGAGCGTAAATTATTAATATGAGAATATCCACTTTCATTTATTTTTTATTAGACATTTGAGATCTTGTTACTCGATGACCTCCGTGTAAGGAATTTTCCATTCCTTACCGAGCGGTACTGCTATCGTGTACGCTCGAACACAGCCAAAGCCTCGGGATGGTTCCGGACCTTTCTGACAGAACCGCCTCGGCTTCTCCAGACCTTCTAGTTCGACCTTCGGGAGTTCTCCGGACCTCACTTCGTCACTTCGAGACCATTCGATCTCTTTCCCGAACCTTCACATCTCATGGTTAGACTAGCTCTGGTTTTCCTATATCTTGGCTTGCCATTCCTTGTATCATCATTTAGTGATTGAACACTTCGTTATTCATTTCCGCGCTACTCTGCTTGTTCATTTCTAACACCTGGTATTCATAGCCACTTTCCTCGCTCACCCGTTTTCGTGAGTTGATTTTTTTTTAGGGGGAGGTAAGACCCTCACGTAAGCTGCAAAGCGGTTGCCCGCGAATTCGACTGATTAATTTGTCCAACTACGATAGCGTTTGCGCTTACCTGAGTACAGGCACACTACGGATTTCCGCTTGCCCCGGCGGAGCATTCACCAAATGGACAAAGCTCAGTTCAACGAGCTTCGAGAGCAGTTCAACGCCATGAACACACGCATGGCTACAGTGCTGTAGGACAATGAGCGACTTCGTGCACAAGTTGCCGAGTTACTCCAGGCGCGAGAGGATTCGCGCCGGAAAACTGCCGCCCAAGAGGAGGTCGCCATCACCGGACGTGTCGAAACCATTTTGGACGAAATTGCACATGAGGTGTCTCAGGAGTGCCAAGACAATGAAGTCGCCGCAGCAGCTGACGTGGCAGCACGAGCAGCAGCCAAAGCAGCAGCAGCCGCCCGGTCAGAAGCAGCCGCTACTGTAACCGCACCGGCATTCGTGCCGATAGTGACGACAACGACAATCAAACCGACAATGCCGCCCCCGTTCAACCCCACAGATAAGAATACTACTATTACGGGGTGGTTTTTTTCGGCATAACTTTATTTTAATGCCGCTGGGATCACTGCTGACAATTTAAAAATTCGGCTGGCTGTATCACTACTGCGTGGACCTGTGCTAAATTGGTGGCGATTTACACTCCAGGAGGGGGAGTTTTTGGCAGGCGACACACAAGGTTCTTTCGGAAACTTTGGGTCTGCTGCCCAAGGGTCAACCGCGATTTTCGGATCGACCAAGATTCGCACGTGGAAGGCGTGGGGTACAGCTCTGCGTGAACGGTTCGAGCCAATATCCGCCTCGGACAATGCACGCACGAAGCTGGACAACTGGCGCCAGTGGAGTTCTGTCCAAGATTATGCAACAGTCTTCATGGCGTTATGCGACCAAATCACCGACATGCATGACTCGGAGAAGAAGGCTCGATTCATTTCGGACCTTAAGCAGGACATTAAATGCGAAGTTCGACTGCGACTACCGCCGACGTTTCACGAAGCAGTCCGGATCTCATACAATTTCGATGCGCATCGGACGTATGCGAGAGCGGGTTCCCTGGAGGGAAATCATTTTCGCGGCCAGGATCCACGGCCCACGATTCACGGCGTAGTGGCAAAGGAGCACATGGAAGATTTTCGCAAGGGACAATGTTTCAACTGCCACCAGCCGGGTCACCAATCTCACGATTGCCCCCGAAAGAAGCAGATAAAGAAGAACGACGAAGGCATGTCGGGAAACGCCAAGCGTCAGTAACGGTCGGGCCCCCTACTGACCCTGCCTCATCACCCGAAAAACACCATCCCCACCGGGTAGTGGTTCCAATACACGCTATCAACCACTTCCGGCTGAATAAGGGGAATGACCTAGTGGACCACTCTGAGCTGGAGAAAGGACGACTCAATGGAAGAAAAAATAAAATATTCATCGACGGAGGTGCGAGTCACAGCCTGATAAATCAGGAGAAAGCACGAAGACTACACTTAGCATTGGAGCGGTGTCTGCTCAAAATAGACGCACGACTGGTGGATGGCACCCCGCTGGAGATACGCAACAGAGTACCTGTCGATCGGATGAAGTGTGGCAAAGATTTCGGTTTCAACGCGCCGATGCTGGCGACAACACTCGACGGCTATGATGTGCACGAGTCAACGCTATGTGCCTCAACCGGGCGGTCAAGAATGGAGCGGATTTATACGCCATCCATCTAACCGAATCAGCGGAGCAAAACGAGGCAACTGGCATCAACAAACTCTGCGCCTCGGTCCTGGATGACTTGGCAAAAATCATTCGGGAATATCCCGAGATTTTCCCGGACGACGTGCCAAGTGGACTGCCAACTGAACGACCCCAAGGCCACAAAATCGAGCTGGAGCGCGGCGCGCAGCCTAGTGTACGAACGCAATGGCGCTTGACTCAGCCCAAGCTACACGAATTGCGGAACCTATTTGACAACCTGCTGGCTAAAGGGTTTATTCGGCCGAGCACGTCCCCGTTCGCTGCGCCGATCCTGTTCACCCCAAAGAAGGACGGCAGACTTCGCATGTGTACGGACTATCGTGCCTTTAATCAGGTAACGCTTAAATCGCGCTTCCCAATCCCACGCACGGACGAGCTGATTGACAACCTTCGCGGAGCTCGCTACTTTTCGAAGATCGACCTTCGTGGAGGTTGCCATCAAATTTGGGTGTTCGCTGACGACTGCCACAAGATCGTGTTTCGTACTCGCTACGGGAGTTACGAATACACGGTGATGCCGTTTAGATTAACGAACGCCCCCTCGACGTTCCAGCTCACCATGAACGGGGTGTTCCGCGATCTACTCGACAAATGTGTGATAATTTACTTGGATGACATCCTAATTTACAGCAAGACCCGGGAGCAACATTTAAAGGACTTGGAAGCGATTTTTCAGTGGCTGCAGCATCATCGGCTCCAAGTGCGAGCTTTTAAAAAAAGAAATGGAGTTCCTAGGGCATGTGATATCCACGGAGGGGATTCAAATAGACCCGAAAAAACTCCGAGCTATTCAGGAGTGGAAACCGCCAACAAATCTGCAGCAGCTGCAATCATCTCCGGGTTTTGTGAATAACGTGCGGCGGTTCATACCCAACAAGGCGGGGTTAACTGGACCTCTAAACGACCTACTACATAAGGGGATTTTTTATGAGTGGGGGGAGAAGCAGCAAGCTGCGTTGAAGGCATTAAAAACTCTTTAAATGTCACCACCAGTACTTCGCATCACTGACCCGGAACGGCCCTTCGAAGTCATCACCGACGCAAGTGACATCTCCATCAGAGCTGTGCTCATGCAAAATTTCAGCAATGGTCTCCAACCAATCACGTACGAGTCTCGGAAAATGCAATCTGCTGAGCGCAACTACCCGGTACACGACAAGGAGATGCTGGCGATTGTCCACGCGCTCAAAATCTGGAGGTGCTACCTGACTGGCGTAGACGTGGCGGTGCGAACCGACCATAAATCTCTACAGTACCTGAGGGCGCAGCCGAACCTCAACCCCCGGCAGATACGCTGGCTGGACTATCTGGAGTCCAACTTCACATAGAAGATCACGTACAAAAAGGGCGTCAACAATATTGCTGACGCCCTCTCCAGACCGTCTGCCCAACTTGCAGCAGTACTAGTCGCCCAGAGCAACCTGCTACTGAGTGGACTATTTACCCACGAGTATTCGACTAACCCCTTCTTTGTAAATGATGGCCATCTCCAAATCACTACACGGAAAGGCGTCTATTAGTTACGAAGCGGGACGGATCGAATTTGGGTCCCAAGTTATTGTCTACTTCGCGAATTACTAATTCAAGAAGTCCACGATTCGAATTTATCGGGACATTTCGGGGTTGATAAAACTCTGAAGGCATTGCAGCAGTTTTATTGCTGGCCAAATATGGTGACGTGTGTGCAACGTTACGTGGCCGCGTGTCCGATCTGCCAACGAATAAAATCATCACATCAGCGATCGACAGGACTGTTGCAGCCCCTTGAGCCACCTCAACGCCCATGGCAACACGTGACGATGGATTTCGTTACAGGCCTGCCGGCCGGATCTAGCGGAAACGACGCAGTCTTGGTTGTCGTCGACCGATTGACGAAAATGGCGCATTTCGCACCATAACGTACAACCATTACAACCAAAGAAACCGCGCGACTGTTCATTTCGACCGTTGTTCGCCTACACGGGATACCAGCAGCAATCATCAGTGATCGAGACCCGAAGTTCACGTCGAAATTTTGGCAAGATACGTGGGCTCGGTGTGGCACGCGCCTACAATTCTTATCCGCTTATCATCCCCAAACGGACTGTCAGACAGAGAGGACAAACCAAACGATGGAGCAGCTGATTCGGGCAAACTGCTCCGACCGAAACACATGGGAGGATGCGCTTCCCATGTTGCAATTCTCCTACAACAACGCGCCCTCAGCTACGACTAATCACTCCCCGTTTTACCTCAATTACGGGATGGACCCCACTGTACTTATCTCCACCAACGTTGAGATTCAAGTACCACGGTCGCAGCAGTTCGTCGAAGAATTACAGACTGCCCGAGACAAAGCTGTCGAACTGATTTGCAAGGCGAACGCTATTGGCCAACGGTATGCGGATTTACATCGACGAGATATTACAATGGCAGCAGGGCAACTAGTCCTTTTGGACACCAAGAACTTGCGGCTACCACTGCCGACAAAATGATGACCATGTTTCTATGGCCCATTCAAGATCATGAAGATGGTGACGCCTGTGTCCGCCCAGTTGGTTTACCTGACGATTGGCGTATTCACAACAAGTTTCACGTGAGCTTTTTGCGACATTTTGTATTTGACACATCGGGCATCGCTCGACAGTGATTGGTCCCGGATGTACGGCCATCAGTAGAGACGACCATCGAGCCTTCGAAGATTTTGAGCCATAGGATTTGTATCGAAGGCCAAGGATGACACGTTAACTTTCTGATACTATGGACCAATCATACCAGTGAGGACGACACGTGGGTGCCCTCGGACCAGATACAGTCGCCTTCGATATTTGTGAATTATTTGGCCCGCAAGCGCGTGACTGATATAGATCACCTTTGCTAAAGGGGGTGGGTGGGTGTAAGGAATTTTCCATTCCTTACTGAGCGGTACTGCTGTCGCGTACGCTCGAACACACCAGAAGCCTCGGGACGGTTCCGGACCCTTCTGACAGAACCGCCTCGGCTTCTCCAGACCTTCTAGTTCGATCTTCGGGAGTTCTCCGGGCCTCGCTTCGTCACTTCGAGACCCTTCAATCCCTTTCCCGAACCTTCACATCTCATGGTTAGACTAGCTCTGGTGTTCCTATATCTTGGCTTGCCATTCCTTGTATCGTCATTCAGTGATTTAGCACTTCGTTATTCATTTCCGCGCTCTACTCTGCTTGTTCATTCATAATACTCCGCTTGCATTCCCCTTAGTCCCAGCACCAATTTTAAGGGCCTATTTCGTCCTCCCGCCAATTTCGAAACCGTATCGCAAAGCTGAAGTGGAAACTGAGGGAGAGTGGTGATCGGTTGGGACACTTCGTTGAAACCAAGTGTCCAGTCACAACACGTGGTGACAACCAATTACTGCATGATGGGGTTATCCGCTGCGGCCCAGATGGAACCCCATATAAGTCGATTTCAGACAAGGTGCAATCATTATCTATAATACAATGATCTTCCTTGTCCACAAAACAAAGAGTTATCTCCTTACCAACACCCCAATTACCAATGACACAGGGTTGACGTCAAGCGGTACTGTTCGGATGACTGTACTGAATGTCGAACAAACCTTCGAATGTCTTCAATATGAGACGAGGCCAACCCCAAGGATTCGAGAGTTGCCGCGTAAAACAAGTTTCTCCCTTGTAACTCTAGCTCGCGAACTCCTTGACGAGGGAAAATTTGAGCGCGTGTGTGAAAATTCACGTTTTCTGTATGGACTGTTGTGCATACTTAGCCCCGTGAGGCAAACCCCTTTGGGTTCCCTCCCAAAAAACACATTTATCACGGTTACAAGCGCATTTCGGGTAACTGGAGAGGCTGGTGTATGAGTACGAACGCTTATGACACGCCCTAATCCCCCCTGCGCCTAGCTTGGTGAAGTCTACATTTTGCCCTGGGCCCTCGAACTTGGTCAGATGCACCTCATCTTGGTTCAAGCTGACCTGAAACCATAGGAAAGTCCTGGTGGGATGGGAACACCTGCTTGCTATGAATGCTGTTTTCCTTGCCACGACTTTCCAAACCCTAGTCTCTGGGAGTGACTGGACTGGACAGGACTGGAGAGGAACACATCATATCGTTTATAATCTCCACGGCACACCGGAGGGCCTTTTCTCTAATCGCCCGTTTTCCTCTGGCCTTAGGCGCAAGACATTCTCCCCCGTCCCTTAGCGCTCACTAGCCGTCGCCGCGCCAGCCGCTGTCGAACCGTCGTTGGTGGTTGCGGCCCGATCCCCAGCAGCGGCGTTTGTCCGAAGCGAGAGGGCGAGCTGTGGGATCTCGCCATGGGAGCAGCCAGCAGCTCCGTGGACGCCGCGGGGATGGTGGGCGAGGAGCGGCGGCTGCACGAAGGGGAGGAGAAAGGGGAGGATGGGGCGGAAGGGGAGGGGGAGGAGGGGGAGGACGACATGGGCGCGCTGTGGCGGCAGTTGAGCCGGTCGGTGCGCATGCGGGTGTCGCGCGGCGACGGGCCCAACCACTGCGATCGCCTGGCGGATGAACAGGCAAGACGCGCGTCTGTAGCCGTGGGGATGCCGACGCGATTGCGAGCGAGGTGCTGGTAGGCGTCGCGTGGCGTCGGGCACTCTAGTCGGGCGCCTGAGTCGTGGCCCCTGGGCGTGCGGGTCTCTCTGGGGCCCTGCTTTCGGGTCGACTGCGAGCGAGAGGAGTGCCGCGCGTTGCGTCCGCTTAATTATACCCGCGCTGTGCCGTAACCGTCTCGCGTCCGCGTCGCATCCGCCTCGTATCTCGCGTTGTCGTCGTCCGGTGTGTGTCGCCAGGGCTGTGCCATGTTTCCGAGTCGTGAGTGCGTCGCTCGCGGGCTGCGTCGGCTTCTCTGCATCTCTGCCTGTCCGCCACGCCCACTCCACGCCCACCGCTCCCACCCCCCTTCATTCCCCGTGCTCCCTTAACCTCCCCGCCGCCGTCCCCCCTCGCGTCCCCTCCCCTCCCCTCCCCCCCCCCCCCCCCCTCCAGCTGGTGGACGTGCTGTCTCGCCTCGGCGCACTTGACCTCACGCGCGCGGCCCTCGCCTGCCGCCGCTTCAACCGGCTGTGCCGCCAGGTGCGCTGCGCGCTCGCTGCTCTCTTGGCTCCTCCGCTCTCGCTTTTTTGCTGCTCCTTTGCCGCCCTCGTCCCCTTCAATGCTCTGTGCCGTTCGTCCATGCGTGCGGGCGGGCCGTCAGGTGCGCGTGATTGAAAGCGCGGGCGAGAGCGCTGCGGAGGTGGCGCGGCTGCTGCGCGTGCTGCCGGGCATCCTGGGCACGGCGTCCGTGGTGCGCCTCGTCAGCCCCGACAGCGAGGACGACGCCGCTGCTGAGATCCGCGCCATCCGTGCGTATGGCTTCCGATGCGCGCCCGCTGCTGCTGCTGCTGCTGGCAGTGCGGACAGCTGCAGCAGCGGTAGCAGGGTTGGCAGTGGCGGTGCTGACAGCGAGGGTGTGAGTTGGGGGGGAGGTCGTGGGGTTGTGGCAGGGGGAACGGCTGCTGGGGATCGCCTTGCAGGAAGCATCGGTGCTGCATCTCCAGCATCAGCAGCAGCAGCAACAGCAGGGCGTGGGTCTGCTGTGGTAGATAGGGGCGACAGAAACAGGAGTGCAGGATACGTGCGAGTGGGGGGTGAATCTGATGCAGCAGCCACAGGGGTGTTTGCAGCGGACACGGATGAGGCAGGCACGGCAGCAGCAGCAGCAGCTTCTCCCTCATCCCCCCCACAGGCGCACGAGCAAGGAAGCGGGCAGGAGGCGGGGCAGGCAGGGGAGGGCAGGGCAGCGTACGTGTGGGGGGGCTCGGAGCTGTCGTGGGAGAACCTGCCGTGCCGGCACGCAAAGAGCGTGGGCATGTTCCTCTGCCCGTCGCTCACGGCGCTCACCCTGGGCGTGGTGCACGTGCGGCGCCACAGCCTGCCCACCATGGCCGTGCTGCACCTGCTGCCCGACACGTGCCCGCGCCTGCGCACGCTGCACGTCACCTGGAGCTGCCTGCACAAGGAGGAGCTGCTCGCCGGCTTCAGGGGCGCGCACGCCCGCGCGCTGCTGCTGGGGGGCATGCTGCCAGGGGGCGCGGAGGGGCTGCCAGGCCTGGGGCTGAGGGGCAGGGGTAGGGCGGGTGGGGGCGGGGGGGGGAGGGATGTGGATGGGGGAGGGTGGGGAGGAGGATGGGGTATGGGAGGGAGGGAGAGGCTGCTGGTTGGGGAAGACCTAGAGGTGAGGGCGGGTCCTGCACGGCTGTGGGATGATGATGATGATGATGATGATGATGATGGGGATGGGGATGGGGATGGGGATGTTGACGCTGACGCTGACGCTGACGCTGATGCTGACGCTGATGCTGATGCTGACGCTGACGCTGACGCTGACGCTGATGCTGATGCTGATGCTGATGCTGATGCTGATGGTGAGGATGGCGAGGATTCTAGTTTGAGTGGCGGAGAGGGCGGGGAGGAAGACGAGGGGGAGGATTTCGCAGTGGCGTTGGGGCAGGAGGGTGAGAGGGTGGAAGGGGGGGGCGAGGGCGAGGTTGCAGAGGGGGGTGGGGAGGGGAGGGGAGAGGGGGAGGAGGGGGAGGGGGAGGAGGAAGAGGAGGAGGGTATGACGGTCGCTGCTAGTCTGGGGTCAGTCGGTGACAGAGATGGGGAGGGAGGAGAGGAAGGAGGAGAGGAGGGAGGAGGAGAGGATGAGGCGGATGGCATGAGGCAGCATTTGGGGGCACAGCAGGAGAGGGCGCACGAGAGGTTGGAGGCAGCAGCAATGGAAAGACATCAGGAGCAGCAGGAGGAGCAGGAGGAGCAGGAGGAGCAGGAGGAGCAGCAGGAGCAGGAGGGTTATTCAAGGGCGGTGGACGTGGATGAGGGCTGTGGTTGGGGTTCAGGTCACAGTGCGGCGTGGACGTTGCTGCGTGCTCTGGCGCCCGAGGCTGCAGCACACGCGCAGCCCGGTGTGCTTGTGACGGGGGGCACGCCCGTGCAGCAGCACAGGCAGCCACAGGGCGAGGGGCTCATGGGAGGGGCAGTTGAGGGAGGAGGGGAGGGGGAAGAGAGGGGAGAAAGAATAGGGTGCTGTGAGGGGGTGGGCTGGGAGAGGGAGAGAAAGAGAAAAGAGAGAGATAGGGAGTGTCAGTGTGACTGTGAGAGCGAGGGGGAGAGAAGGGGGAGGGAGAGGGGGAGTGAGCAGGAGGGTGAGGAAGGGCCGAGTGGGTTAGGGGTGCGGTTGCAGGATGTGGTGAGGGCAGTGGTGCGAGGTCACCTGGACGCACACACCAGTGCTGATCGCCCTGCCATTGCAGCAGCGGCGGCGGCAGCAGCAGAGGAGGGTGGCGGGGGCGCAGAGGAAGTGCAGGGTGGGTGGTGGAGCGGAGGGGAAAGTGAGGGCATGCCGGGGGCGGACAGGGAGAACGAGCAGGGCACACAAGTCGGCCAGCAAGGGGAAAGTTCCTTGCAGCCAGTGCGTGCCAATCAACTGTTGCCGCATCCCTCGGTCGCAAGCCCGGCAGCATCCCATCTCTCTCCTCCTCCTACTACCCGTGCTGCTGCTGCTGATGTTGCTGCTGCGCCTGTTGCTGCTGCACCTGCTGCAGCTGGGGGTGTGGAAGATGGTGGCACGGAGGGGACTTGGGAAGGATGCGCAAGACTAGAGGGGCGAGAGGGACGTGGGGAGGCTGGGAGGGCGTGTGTGGTGGAGAGTGGGAGTGGAGTGGACAAGGAAGCAGCAGCATGCATGCGAGGCACAGCTGCCACTGGTGCTTCGTCTGCCTCCGTTGAGCCTTGCGAGCGTGGAGATGCACTGGGTGCGGGGAGCAGCGGTGTGAGCGCACAGGGCAGTGGTGGTGCTGCTGCCGTGCACATGACGCCTGCCTGTGCGGCAGTGCATGGCCCGCACTGCAATGGGGATGGCGCGCAGTGCCATAGCCGTGCACATGAGGGGGGCACTGCTGCCCACGCTGCTGCCCCCGCTGCTGACCCCACTGCTGCCCATGCTGCGGACCCTCCTGCTGCCCCTGCTGCCCCTCCTGCTGCCCGTGCTGCTGACCCTGCTGCCTGTGCTGCTGAGTACGGCCCTAGTGAGATGACAGAGGGAGCAGCAGAGCCCGAAGGAGGGGTTGAGGGGAGAGGGGAGGGCGAGAGGGATCAGACGAGGACAGGGGAACAGGAGATGGGAGGGGGAGAGGATGGGGATGGGGATGAGCTGACGCCAGGGGAGGGGGAAAGGTTGGGCGAAGCACAAGACGTGGAATGGGAGGGTGGGGATGGAAGGGGGGAGGAGCAACAGGAGCAGCAAGGGGAAGAAGCAGATGACGCGATGGCAGCAGCTGCGGCGGCTGCTGTGGTGGCGGCTGCAGCCACTGCGGATGACATCGACGCTCCCGTCGCTGCAGCAGCAGCGGCAGTGGCGGCGGCAGCAGCAGCAGCAGCGGCAACAGCGGCGGCGGCAGCAGGAACGGAGCTGGCGCGGCGGCTGGTGGAGCGCAGCCCCACGTCGGTGCTGTACGGGGCGGGCGTCATGACCAGCGCCGTCGAGCGCCTGCTCGCGCGCTGCCCGCACCTGCAGTCTCTGCGCCTGCCGGGGCTGCTGGCCACGGGGCTGGCAGGGGGCCACGCGCGGCTGCAGCGGCTGGACGCGACGCTGGTGTTCGAGCTGGGCACGGGCGCACGGGTGCTGCAGCGGTGTGTGAGCGCGTTCCCCGCCCTCACGCACTTGCGCATAGCCACGCAGTTCAACGCGCTGCCGGGGGACGACAGCAGCCTCGCCGACTATGGCGGCGCCACCGCTGTGGTGGCGCCAGCAGAGTATGTGGTGTGGAGGGTGGGAGGAGATGAGATGGTGTAGGATGGGGTGGGGTGGGGTGCAGTGTTGTGGGTGGGGTGGGATGGGTTAAAGTGCGGGCCTGTGGTGATGTATGTATGGTGTTGTGGCGTTTCGCGTCTTCTCCGTGTTCTGACGCTCTTTGCATGCATGGACCCTCGCCTATCAGCAATGCTTGTCAAAAGCTTCTTCTCTCCCCCTCTCTCCCTCTTTCTCTGTCCTTCTTCCTCTTTCTCTCTTCCCCGCTCCCCATCCCCTATTCGAATTCCTCTCCCTCTCTGCTCCCCCAACCCCCCCAATCCTCTCCTCCCCATCCCCTTCGCCCGCACCCCTCTCCCCCTCCCCCTCCCCCCCCCAGCTCGCAGCTGCAGGAGGTGGACCTGGAGAGCTTCCGCCTGCCGCTCGCCATGTCCTTGGCCCTGCCGCGCGTGCGCCGCATCAAGCTGTACCGCGGGGACGTGCACGGCTTCTCCCCGCCGCCGCCGCGCTCGCTGGCCCTGGCGTGCCCGCTGCTGCTGGAGCTGGACATCGACTTCCTCATCACCTCGCCTGCCCTGCACGCCCTCGCCTCCTCCTCGCCGCTGCTGCGCATCCTGCGCGTGCGCCACCCGCCGCCCGTCGTGCACCTAGACCCATCCTGGCAGCACCTGCGCGAGCTCTTCCTGGGCGGGCTGGGGGAGAACTACGGCGCGCGCGAGATCTGCCTGGCGTGCCCGCGCCTGCATCAGGCCACGGTGGCGCTGGGCGTGGCGCACACGGACCGGCTCGCCGTGGACTGCCCGCTGCTGCAGGATCTGCGCGTGCTCAGCTTCGGCCTCGACACCGTCGACTGCCGCTTCCACTGCCCCTCGCTGCTCTCGCTCGCCCTGGGGGGCATTGACCCCGGCCCGCTCGACAGCATGGGGCGCGGGTGCCCGAGCCTGCGGAGCCTGGAAGTGTGCTGCCCCAAGGCACACCACGTGGTGCTGGGGGAGGAGTTTGCGCAGCTAGAGCGAGCGTCCATCTCGGGGCTGGGCGTGTGCCGCACGCTGCAGGTGCACTGCCCGCGCCTGGCGTCCCTCACCATCTACTGCACGTGGTCCGCGCCCTGCCTTGTGGAGGCCGCTGCGCCATGCCTCACGGACCTCAGGTTCCGCGCGCGCCCGGCGGAGTGGGACCAACCCGTGCGGTTCGCGCTGCGCTGCCCGCGGATAGAGAAGCTGGAGCTGCCGTTCGTGGTGGCGGACCTAGCTAGTCTCGGCGCCACGTGCCCGCGCTTGGCGCACCTGGCCGTGGACTATGTCGTAGGGGGCGTGGTGCGCGTGGGGTCTGACTTCACGGCCCTGCGCACACTCAAAATCGCCCAAGCAGAGGCCAGCCTGCAGGAACGCCCACTGCCGCCCATATCCGTGCTGGATGTGCGGTGCCCCAGGCTCGAGATTCTGGTGTGCGGGTCCGCACCTGACAGCAGCAGCAGTGATGGTGGGGTGACTTCCACGGCAGGCCTCCATCCTCCTGCCAAACCAATCTTCTCCTCAAATGCTGCTGCTGCTGCTGCTGCTGGCAGCGACTCTCGGTCGTCACCCTTTCCAGCTGCTCAACCTGCTGCAACTGCTGCTCGTGTCCCCACCACTGCTGCGCACGTCCCTGTGCCTGCACCCCACCCCCAGCCTGTGAAGCCTGCCCAGCGCGCCAACTACTGCCGCATCGAGTGCCCTGCTCTGGACCTGCTGGACCTGGGCTTCCTCCCTCTGCCCCTGCTGCCCTCCATCGCTGCCGCCTGCCCCAAGCTCAGAGTCCTCCGTGCCGTGGGCCCGCTGACTCACTGGCGCGCCCCAGGGGTGCCTGAGGTAGCGCAGCATGCAGCCAGCAGCGGCGGTGGTGCGGCGGATGGTGCGAGGGAGAAGTCTGGTAGGGGTGCAGCAAGCGGGGATGGGCCCCTGTTGAGCGAGCTGGATGTTGAGACAGGGCGGAGAAGGAAGAGGCAGCGGGACAGTGATGGGTCGTTGCAGGGGTGTGATGAGGGGGAATGCGGGGAGGAGGGGCAGCAGCGCAGGAGGGGGGAGAAGAGAGCAGCAGGTGCTGCAGAAGAGAGGGGATTAGGCGTTGGAGGAGGCGAGGAAGCAGGGGATGACAGCGGCAAGGGGAAGCAGGCGGCAGAATCGTTGCGTGGTGAGTGCAGTGACGAGGGGAGAGGAGGAGTGGAGAAGGACATGGGGCCAGCACGTGGTGAGTACGGTGTGCTGCACGGTGCATCGCAAGTTGACATGAGCGCATGCCTCACGTCTCCTCCCCCCAGCCTCCCCTCCCACACACCCCATCCCACCACGTCCCCTCAACCCAACAGTCGCCCAGCCACCTCTATCCCCCCCTGTACCAGCGTCCCGCAACCCCCCCTGCATTGCGCGCGTGCCCCTGCCATTGACGTGGGGGCGGCCTTCGTGTCTCTGGAGCACCTGACGCTCAAGGTGCTCGACTGTGCCTTTGGCGCGCAGGCAGGCCACCCCGTGCCGCCGCCCTCGCCTGCTGCCCCCGCCACAGGGCTGGGGTTTGGGGGTGCTGCGCCGTGGCCCGGGTGGCAGGGCGGCATGACGAGGAGCCGCACCATCCGCCACGCACGGCCCTCCGCCATGGAGGGGGGCAGGGCGCTCGTTCGGGAGAGCGTGGGGGAGAGGTCGTTCAGAGAGAGGGAAGGGCGGGGGGAGGGTGCGGTGCGTGGGGAGGGAGGGGAGAGGGGTGAGAGGGTAGGGCGGGATGTGGGTGGACGAGATGAGGGGTTGGGGCAGGAGGCAAGGGTGGACGATGGGGCAGGTGAGGGGGAAGGGGGCGCTGAGGGGAGGCAGGAGAGCAGTGGAGTGAGTGGGGAAAGGGGGGAGAGAAGGGGGGAGGGACGAGGTGTTGGAGAGGCGGTGGTGATTCGAGGAGCCGGTGTTGAGGTGGGGGAGGAGAGGGCGAGAGAGGAGCAAGGGCATGGGAGTCGTGAAAGTGCTTTGAGCGGGCATGGCTCTCTTGACTTGCGACAAGACAGGGTAGGAGAAGCGAGGGGGGCAGGGGACGAGCCAGAGAGGGGGAATTCAGTGGGAGGAGCGAGTGATAGTGGGCTTTCAGGGGTGGGGGAGAGGCAGGCAGTAGGGAGTGGGGCATGGGTGTCGGGGTTGCGGCGCGGGCAGAGGAGGCGAGTGGCATGGATGGATCAAGGTGGGCTGGCTTCCAGTGCGGCGAGCATGCAGGGGGGAGCGGCCGGAAGGGATGCTTCAGTGGGCGCAGGGGGGGCAGGAGGAGTGCGAGGGGAGCGGGGAAGGGAGAGTACGGGTGTTGGCAGGGATGGGTTGGTGGAGGGAGAGCAGAGGAGGAGGGGAGAGGGAGTGGATGGTGCTGGTGGGGACAGTGGAGGGGTGCGGGAGTGGGATGACAGGGAGAGAGTGAGGGCAGGGGGGATGTTACGGCAGGGAGCAAGGGCAGAGGAAGCAGAGCAAATGGGTGCAGGAGGGATGCAGGGAGCAGCAGCAGGAGCAGGGCGGGAGGCAGAAGGGTTTATGTTACGGCGGTCGAACCTGCTGACGAGCATGTATGGGCGCGTGGGGGAGCAGTTCACACGCACTGCCATGCACCTCTCGCACGCCGCTGCTGCCCGCCATCCTGGCAGGGACACGGCCGGGGAGGGGCCGAGGGAGCGGGGGGGAGACGGAGTGGGGGAAGGGACGGGGGAGGAAAATAGAGGAGGGGAGAGAGGGAGTGCAGAGTTGAGAGGGCGGAGAGGCGTTGACGAGGGACGGGAGGAGGTGGGTTCAGGTGTGGTGCGTGGTGATGTGTCTGAGAAAGGTTGCAAGGATGGGGGATGCATGCATGCGAGGGGCAGTAGGGATGCTGGCAGTGTGGCCGCAGATGGGAGCGGTGGTCCAGTAGCGCATGGTGCGGCGGATGTGTGTGTGGACGTGCGTGTGTGCTGTCCGCTCCTTCAGCACATGGAGGTGCTGCTGAGTGTGGGCCGTGTGGGGGACGTGCAGGTGCGCTGCCCCAGCCTCAGGAGCCTGCTGCTCGTGCACGCTCACAGGGCAGGGGCGTGTAGGGCAGGGGGCGGAGAGAGGGCGCATGGCGGGGAAGGGGGGGAAAGGGAACGGGTAGGCGGTTGGGGCAAGGGAGTGGGAGTGGGAGGAGAGCGCGAGGCAGAGGAGGTAAGGGATGGTGGTGGGCATGGGTTGGAGGAGAGGAGGGCTGCTGCTGCTGCTGCTGCCTCTGCGCGTGGTGCTGATGGCAGCGTGTGCCGTTCGTGCGTGGCTGCACGGCCTCACTCGTTCATGCTGGAGTGCCCCCAGCTGCAGCGCTTCAAGTGGGTGCAGGCCAACACCCACCACCGCGTGTGCTGCCCCATCCTGCACGCCAACACCCGTCTCTCCCCCTCGCAACTCTCCATGCTCTGGGGCATCCCACTCTCATCCTCCCTCTCTTCCCGCTCTCCATCTCCCTTCAACCACTCAATTTCCTCCCTTCCCACCTCGTCTCGACCCCTTACTACCTCCGCAGCCTCTCGCCGCCTGCCCACATCCCACCCCTTCTCCCCGCACCTCCCCCCCTGCCCCCCGCCCTCGCTGGTCGCGTGCCTGCCGTCCTTCAGCTTCGGCGCGGCATGTGCAGTGGTGAGGGAGGTGGACATCTCCAAGTGCTGGGGGGTGCCTACCAGAGCCGCCCCGGGGGGGCACTTCCCTCGCAGGCCCGGCGCAGCGAGCATCAGGGCAGGGGCGAGCAGGCTATGGAGCAGTGGTGCAGGGGGGGGAGAGCAGGGCGGGGCGGTGGGTAGTGGTGCTGGGGTTGGAGGTGCAGGCAGGGATGGCTGTGGTGAGGGGGAATGGGATGGTGGAGGGGAGGAGTGTGGGTGGGCGGTGGTGTTTGGGCCGGAGTGGGCGAGTTTGCAGAAGCTGCTGCTGTGGGAGGTGGCTGCCACGTCCATCACTGTCGCCTGCCCAAGGTCACTGCTGCACTACTGCCCTCCATACGCCGTCTTATATCCACTGTTACCCTCGCATGCGCTCCTTTTACCTACATGACCTTCCACTGCAGTTTCTATGTGCTCCTCTCAACTATTCTCTTCCGTTCGGAGCCTAATACCTGCACTCTTCGTTCCCTTTCCCCACTACCATCCCTCGCCCCTCCCAACTTCTGCCATTTCTGCAGGCTACACAAGCTGTCGCTGTGTGTAACGCCATCGTCCGCCCACAGCCCTGCTGTCACGAGCATCACCATCAACTGTCCGCAGCTCGCCTCTCTCTATCTCGACCTGGGCAACAACCCTTCTTCCTCCTCACCACCCGCTCCTCCAACGTCAACAACCGCTGCTGCATCACCTGCCTCTGCCACAGCCGCACCATGCCGCGCGCCCCAGCCTCAGCACCCATCCCGCACCTCTACAGTGCTGCCGCCGCTTCCTCGCATAGCGCCAGCCCCGCTGCTCTCCCATGCTGCAGTGGTGGCGGCCCTGCCGGACTGGGCTGTGCTCTCCCTGCTCTCGCCGCTGCTGGGCCCGGCACTGAAGCAAATGCACGTGGCCTCGCATGTGCTGGACGACCCTGCAGGGCTGGAGAGGGAGCTCTCTCTGCGTGCCATGGGTGCGCACCATCGCATCTTTGCATGCCATGTCCTCACACGTGCTTTCAGCAAGTTTGCTGACCTCTTCGACCGTCGCGCCTTTCAAACGCTATGATCTGATCTCATGAATGGGCGCTTGCTTGCTCAAGTTCGTTATACACCATACCATGCATCGTGTTAGCCACACCTTTGCATGTTCTATCAATTGCAACAGCTTGCGTACCATACATGTTCGTCATTGATTTCTTGCAGCAGCTTCTGAATGGGCGCCTTATAAATCACATACATCAGGTTATAAGGACCCGGGCTTTGATGCAAGTGTTCAAATGTGTTAGGATATACCCTTGTGTATTGCCTAGCCTAGTCAACTCTTCTCTCAATATGGTATCACGCTAGGTTAGCTCCTAACCATCGCGCTTCCGCCCCTAGGTGCTCCTCTCCTCTCCCACCCTAGCTTACCTCTCTTGACTAGGTTAGGACCTAGTCTACTCCCCTAGCTCGCGCCCTAGCGTATGACCTAGCCCCAGGTTGCCGCCCTGCCTCCGCACTGCCCGCTGCTCGCCGCCTGCTCGCTGCCACGATAGCTCGCCGCCAGCTCGCTGCCCGCGCCTTGCCGCCGCCTGCTCGCCGCTCGCAGTCAGCTCCTGCCGCCAGCTAGCTGTCGCCACCAGCTCGACGCGGCCCCCCTGCAGCTCGCCGCGTAGTTCGCCTGCAGCCCGCCACCAGCCAGCTGCTTACCGCTGCCAGCTCGCCGCTGACTTGCTGCCGCCAGCTCGCTGCCGCCGCCAGCAGCTCCCTGCAGCGCATCTGCAGCTCGCCGCCAGCAGCCGCCAGCCGCCACCTGCTCGCTGCTGCCGCCAGCAGCTCGCTGCCGCTGCCTGCCGCCGCTGCCAGTCGCCAGCCGCTAGCTGCTAGCCGCCAGCCGCCAGCCGCCGATGTCAGCCGCCAGCCGCCAGCCGCCGATGTCAGCCGCCGCTGCCAGCCGCCAGCCGCCGGCCGCCAGCTGCTGCCGCTAGCCCCCAGCTGCCTGCCACCAGCCGCTAGCCACCAGCCACCGCTGCCAGCCGCCAGCCGCCGCTGCCAGCCACCAACACCAGCCGCTAGCCACCAGCCGCCGCTGCCAGCCGCCAGCCGCTCGCCGCCAGCGGCCAGCCGCCAGCCGCCAGCCGCCAGCTTCCAGTCGCCAGCTGCTGGCCGCCAGCCGCCAGCTGCCGGCCGCCCGCTGCCTGGCACTAGTAGCCAGCAGCCAGCTGCCGACTACCAGCCACCGGCTCTACAGCCGTCAGCGCAGCCATCGCCGCTGCACCCGTCCGCGCTGCCTTTGGACCTGTCGTCGACCCTGCCGCTAGTGCTCTTGTCGGGTCTGCTGCCCCGCCGACCCTGCCAGGCCCTGCCCCTGGTCGGATACGTCCTCTTGCCGACATGACAACCCCTTCGGCTTCCCTGTTTGTTCTTCGCCCAGACGCTGACGGCTGTGCGGTGGGCTCCTCGGCCTAGCTCTCCTCTCTCCGCCGCCAGCTGCTGAGCCAGCGCTGGGAGGGCGAGTCGCTGGCGGCCCACGTCACTGGTGAGCCCTTTCCCCCCCCCTTGGCCCTGAGGCGACGTCGGAATAGTGTGAGGTCTTTGCAGCTGCCAGAACTGCCCGCGCCATCTGGGACTCTCGCGATGCATCGGCACAGGTAGCTATCACCAGGTGCCTGCCGGTCGATGGACACTCCCAGTTTGAGATAGAGGAGATGGCTCCGTTCCTCTGGGAGGCGCTCGTCGCCGGCTACTCCTCCCCTTCATGCGCCACCCTCGGCCACCTCCTCCTTCCGTTCCTCTTCCCTGACCTGGCCTTCTTCTCCACCGCCGCCGACCTCGTCGCCCACCTGCTCGACCTCGAGGTACGGTTCCGTGCGTCTTGGATCGAGGCCCAGCTCACCGTAAAGCCCTCGCCCACCCCAATCACCCTGTACTTCCTCACCACCCACCTCCCTGACTGCCTCGCACCTGCGTGTCACGCTCTGCTTGCCCTGCACCCCACTACCCTCACCATCGACCGCTTCTAAACCTCCCTGACGGAGGTTGAGATCCGCCCCCGTGCCATCGCTGAGTCCACTAGTGCGGTGGTGGCCCCTGTCTTTTAGGGCTGCTCTCCGACACAAGTCCTTGTCTCTGGTGCTGAGATCGTTGTGGCAGTCACTGCGCCTGGCCGCTCAACCAAGCGCTTGCAGCGCCGTGGTGGTCGTAGGGTGTCGGTGGGCGGTCGGGGTACTGGTGAGGCTCCGGGAGCTAGCGGAGGAGCGGGTGCGGAGGAGGAGGGGGAGCACCAGCAGCAGCAGAAGCGGTAGCAGTAGCAACGATCTCAGCGGCAGCAGCAGCAGCAGATGTTGCAGCTAATCCTCCAGTAATCACACTCTCCTAGTCCCATATGGTGCAGCAGATCCTCTAGTGGTTCAGCCTTCGGTTCTCGTTAGCACAGCCCACCCCACTTCTTGTGGACCACAAGCTCTCAGCTCCTGTTTCCAACGAGCAGGTCGAGCCCAGTGGTCCATACGCAGAGCTGGTGGGGTGCCTTATGTACCTGATGACGTGCACTTGTCCAGATCTAGCGTACCTTTTCAGAATCCTTGTGCTCTTTGTTGCGACTGGCAAACACCAACCAGAGCATTGGCCAGCTTCCAAAAGGGTGTTGCGATATATAGCGAGTACATCAGGACTGGGGCTTGTGTTGGGAGGATGGGAACCAGTGGTCCTCAATAGACACACACACGCGTCGTGGGTTGACAACTTGGAGACAATCAGGTTCTCACGCAGCTACTGCTTTAGTCTTGGTGCCGATGCGGTCTCGTGGCGGTCCACTAGGTCGTCGTCTGTAGCTCAGTCCAGTTGTGAGGCTGACTCTACGCTGGGGCTATGGCCGCTCAGGAGCTCTGCTGGTTAACGTTCTTGCTCACTGACCTCGGTGAGCGACCTAGGTCTGCCACAATTCTATTTGCTGATAACAGGGCCATGGTCCTCCTGTGTCAGGAGGCTCGACTTGTGGACAGGGCGAAGCACATCTAGCTGCGTGAGTTGCAGCAACGCAGTCAGGCACTTGTAGTACAATTGGCCTTAGAGGCCAACACTGCCAATATCTTCACTAAGGTTGTAGGGCCTCGTGACCATCAGCGGTTCTGTACCCAGCTTGGTCTAGTTCCAGTTGCCTCTCCCTTGTTTGTATCGAGGTCCTGAGATATCAACCTTAAAGCCCTTGTTAACTTAATTTCAATCGCTGGTTTTTCTGTTGTCTATGATTTTCCAGTGTTTGCAAACTGCCCATTGCGACTTATTTCACAACAGCAGGTCCCTCAAATGTCGTTGCCTCATTTGCATTCCAAGTTAGAAGTTGCCACCTTAGCGTGGTGCCCGCGCTCTAGCCATGACGTTAGGGACTTCGCTTGGTGGTATTTTGCCACTGCAATATCACTTAGTGTGGTGTCGGCACACCTTACATCTTTAAATCAAAATGTGGCTGGCAACATTATGCCGGAACATTTCGTCCGCTGGCACAGTGAGAATGAAAGCTTGGAGTGGAAAAAGCCTCGTCGAACCACAAGTTGTTCTTGAATTCCCCTAGGTCACCTCGTCGAACCACGCCATGAATAGAGAGTTTGTGTGCACATAGTTTCTATCCCCTCCAATTCTGTTATTGGCTTTTTTCAATCTCGATGTCCACAAGCGTTATGTCATTTGACGCTGGGGATAGCGGCCCAGCAAGCATTCCTAGCCCAACCCAACAGCCCGTCCAAGAGCTCGCCAAGCTTGCCCCAATAGGTCTCCTGAAGGCGAGGCACAAACAAACAGTCGTCTACCGCATCGATGGCAGCAGTGGCACCACCTACTGTGGCACCACCAAGTCCAGCACCCTTTGATGAGCTTTTACCAAACATCGATGTCGAGACGTGGGTTGCCGGTATGTTGCCCCCGTCCCCATCCCATGCTACGAGCACGTTGTAGGCCCATGCAGCGTCACCCACTTCCCAGCTTCGCTTGGCGCGTTCTGTTCCAAAACTGGCCCATCCATGCATGCCGCTTAAGACACCATTGTTGACGTAGTGTTTGGGCACACATGTTGGTCACTAGTGTCGTCATGTGTTCTCCATCCGTTGATGTTATAGCAACAACCTCGATGACGTGGATGTTGTCTCAATCTCGCAGCATCGATGTTGAACCAGCCATATTTTGCAAACAGCGGTGTCATTGGAGAAACATGAATTCCTCCATCCATTGTGGCATCGGAGCTCTTGTTCATGCCTATCAGCTTCCGTGGACGTGATGTAGTTTGATGAATTTGTGGTGACGCATTTTTTATGGCTTATATGAAAGTCATTGACCACGAGGACTGGTGTGTCGGGGTATGTACCGTAGTCCTCCTATCCTCTGAGGAGTGTCTCTTTCTGAGCTCTAAAGGGCATGTGGCATAACCACGTTGGTCCAAGGCATAGTGGTACCTCCATCCCACTAGCTAGAACTATGCGAATGTAGTGCCAGTACAGGTCTTTGAAGTCGTACTATAATAATACCCTCTGTCATCTCCATTGTGTAGAGGAGCTTCCATTAAGACTGAAGTCGCCTGCTTCAGTTGTGACAAAAGTCGTGCAGGCACTTGAAGTGACATCTACTGCAGCGGATTTCTTCAATTCGTTGCGCAAGGAAGAATCCACCAACTTCCTCTTTTGTGTAGACCCCATTTTATGGGCATAATAACAGTAAATACTAGGGAACATGCGTGTTTTGATGCACATGTGCCAATCCGTTGCTGACATTGATGAATTTATACAAGGCCATTTTTACTTACTTCCCACCTCCTCGCTGCAAGAATACAAGAATGAGTAGAAATAAGACAGAACAAGGGAAATATAGAACTGGAGTTGTACCCTCTAAGAACACAAACCTATCTAGCCTATAACTTCTACATACAAATATATGAATAAGTTGACACACCCCCTAGGCTAGATAAGGGGCAATGCTGAGCAAGAAAACACGCAGCTCAGGGTGGCACTACTAGTCCAACATGTGAGGCAGGGGTCCGAAGACAAGTCAGCAAGAGTACAAACAAGAAAAGAGCAAACCAGGGCAGCACTACTAGTCCGACCACTGGAGGCGAAGCCACAAGGCCAGTCAGAAAGGTATATAAAAAGAGGAAAACACAATCAAGGTCCTAGCAAGTGAGTAGCTACAGGAACTAGACCAAGCTGCAAACAGAGCCGCTGATGATCTTTAGGCGCAAGTACCTTAGTAAAGATATCTGCTATGTTGGCACC